TTAGTTCATGTATAAAGAATGTAATGTAATGAAGGAGGGAAATTTATATTTTGTTTGCAGAAATGCATATAAAAATAGTTGGCCTGTCACATTATTACATAAACCATTATTAATGGGTTACTGAAAGTGGCCATAAAGTGACAGTAATATAAGCTTTATTTCCTCGGAAAAATCTCGTATTCATGGTCTAGAATAGAGTCCGGCTTGACTCTCAGACATTTTACTTATAATTGGCCTCTTAATGCATCAGAAGTTGCCAGAGGGAAGACAAGTGCTGCCCTCACTGGGGTCCCTTGGGCCCAGCCCCAGACAGTGAGCCAGTGAGGTGCGTGCCCACCCTTCTTAACTAGACTCGGATCCACAGTCCCTGGTTGGATTCCAGTGTCAGTACTGCCACCAATTTGCTTCTTGATTTGGGTGTTTTGACTGCTCTTTAGCTGGAGAAAGGAATAATAATAACTTCAGTTCACCTCATAGGAATGTAGTAAGGATAAAACAAAACAATGTATGTGCAAGCATTGTAAAAAACCACAAGTCTAAATACAAATGTAAATATTATTTTCATAGGAGCCTGAACGTACTCAACATTTTGTTTCTAATTTCAGGCATGGGAGAAAAAGTTCTATTTCCTTTTGTGCCTAATTTAAACAAAAGGCACAAACCATCTCACTTGGATTTTTCTCTAGTTCAAGCATTGGGCTTAAGGAAGCTTCTGGTCAGCAAGCTGCCAACTCACAATGTTGAAAGAAATCGCAACTCCACTCCAAGTCAGGGCTGTGAAGGGGGAAAGAACAGGAAATCTCCCGAAACATTCCTGGTCTCAAGGGGAAATTCAGAGGGACCGCAGAGGTAACTATAGGGCACCGTTTCTGACGGCCCCCTGCAGAGAACCAGGTTTTGTTTAAAATCGAGCAACAGCAGGCGTGGCTTGACTCTACCTAGAGCTAACCTGAGAGTCTCAACTGTTGAGGAAGAAATTAAACAGGTTTTGCCCCAAATGTAAGAGATGGCATGCGAAGGGCCTTCCTACGTCAGGGACTTGTCTCCATGAAGTTTTCTCTTCCTGGAACCTTCCTTTTCACCTTGTCTGTTCTTACACGGCACGTCCTTAGGGGGCCTTTCCCGCTGCCACCCCCATCTCACCCCCTTCCGAATCACATCCAGTGCTAAAATGCGGAGGGCCCCACACTTCCGCTTTATAATCATTGTTTGGAATTGGCGATGCATTACTGTGACTGACTAGTGTCAGTTTTTCTCTCTCCCCACCCCCCAAAAGCCCCCGGAGGACAGGGAACAGTTTGATGTCATAGCATCCCCAGAAAAGAGCAGACTGCTCATCGTGGGCCCTTGTTAAATATTTATCAAATGAGCGAGGAAAGAAACACAATCTGAAAAGAACTTATAAAACAGATGATTTCATACCACAAATCATGTCTAGGTGGGCACATTTATGCAAATATATGCTATTTGCAATAAAACCCTTAATTTACTGTTGCTCAGGGAGGACATATTGCAAATGAAAGGAAACCATAAAATGAGGTTAATAAATCAATTTTAATACCAAGTTAGTAGTTGGGGAATATGCTGCACACCCCAAACAAGGGGTTCTTACGGCCTGAGTGGTTTGTTTATAAGGTCCCGACTGCCTGCATTTAGCCATTTTGAAGAAGGGACATGAAAAGGGCAGAGCTATTGCTTCCCAGGCTATAAGGCATGAGCTCACAGTTGGGGAACTTCAGAGAGAAATTCTTTCTGGACCAGGTACCATGCGATAGAACAGAAAATTGCGTGATGGGGCCACCCAGCCTTTGTCAGGCATCAGATAGCTCCCAAAAGCACAGTTGTGTTACATTCTGATTACTTTCTTCTGTTCTAAAAAAGTTGAGAAGTGTGACTAATTGGGCATTCATTCACATGAGGGTAAATATGCAAGGAAGGTAAAATTTTCAAAAAATGTTATTCAAGCTCTCCAGCAAGATAAAGCAGTTAATGTCTCTAGTTTTTATTGAGCTATACGCCAAGAAGCCATGTTTTCTGGATAAAAGTCATTCCCCATCTCCCTTCCATCTGTTTTTTTCTCTTGCACACACGTATTAAGGCACTATTTGTTGCTCATTTTTAAAAATAAGGTTACCTTGTGATCTTCCTTATCTTTCAATTATTCTATGCAACATATAATTAAATTCCATCTTCCTCACTAAATAGCTTGAATTGATGACTTTCTGGAAGCTAAGTGTACCCCATTTGTGTGTTAAACAAATATAAAGAATAAGAATGCTGAGTAATGAAGATCATGTCTTTTCTGGGGCTTTTAAAGCTATAAGGTTTCTTTTCCTTCCTTCAAAAGATTGTACACAATAAGTTACACTGCAAATAAAAATGAATTAAGTGAGACTGAGAGATCAGAGCAGAAATAAAGAGGCGCCAGCTTCTGTAGTGGGCCTTTTATGGATGATGCTTTGGGGCTATCAATTTGGAAAGAAAAAAAATCAAATAAAAATCCATTCCATACTTATTTTGAAGACCGCATCCTTTTCTCTGTTTTCATATAACTTTGCCAAGGTTTTATTTTTTATAAGATCTTTGTTGTCCCATGTCCTAACATTCTACAAATTCTAATCCTTCAGGGTAGACGGAAATTAAACAATTTAAATGCTGTTTAGTAATTTCAAAATAACAGTAAGTAGGGCACTTTCTCCTATCATCAGCCCTAAAACTCCCCCTTTATTTTGCCATTGTTCCTACTGCTACTACCAGAGCTCCTAAAGGGTCAGATAACAAAGACCCAAAGAGGTCTTTATATATTTTCAGCTTTATACTTAAAGCCCCTCTCAGGTTATGAACTGCCTTCATCCTTCAGATTGTTTGAAACTCATTAATTTCATTTTTTCTTTGGGAAAGTGAGACCAAGTCAGGATCAGAAAGAAAAGTGCTATTTGTTTCTTTCTGTGGCATCTTTCCTTGACTCCATTGAGTAGCAGCTGGGAGTGTAAACCTGGGTTTACTCCATGTTGGCAACAGAAAAGTCATTTTTCCCTATAATGATGAGCATCTAGCAGAGTTTCTTAAATAGAAAATGTTCAGTGTAAATTGAAAAAATAACACAATTTTCACTGTTTTAAAATGAATCACTTCCTGTTATCTTACTACAATTTTAAACCCTGTGTTAACCAAGCATTACACAATAAGTTTCAAGCCTCCCTACAGAAAAATAGACCATGGCATGGAAAAGTGGCTTTGAGGAGCTTAGAAAGAAGGGCCTGTGCTCATTGGTTCAGCTTCACATGAAGTAAGCACAATATCTTGTCTGAAACACTTAGGAGCTTCTCCATGAAGAGAACGGATTGTTTGGGGGTGTGAGGCAAAGTAAGGTTCCCAGTAGCAGAAATGTTTTAAATGTTTTCATTTAGATGAGGCAATGACCTGTCTAAATCAAACCACGACGCCTAGCCTTGGTCCTTAAGACTATTTGAGGGATACAATGTGACTTACTCTAAGAGAAATCTTTGCTTTTATCTGACCTGCAGTTGAATCTTGTGCTATATTTTTGCTTGGCTTTTTAACTTTTTCTCTCAGTGACTGTGGAATTTCCACTTTGGTTTCTCATTGGGGGGTCCTAGTGTTTAAGGGGAATGGGGGACTGAAAAATTCTAATCCTAAAAAGATTGTCTCAGTCTGCCTTAATGACAGTGTGAGCTCCTTGCTTCTCCATGGTGTGGCTCTAAGGGGCTGCTTAAGGCCACCACCGAGCAGATGGGCCTGTGGGCCAGGGAGCAGGGTAACTGCCATTCCTCCCTTGGGCACTCAAGGGCTTCCCCAGAGAGCGGAGACTTCAAGGAAAGGTTCTCTGGCCCCACGGCTCAGTGGGAGGACAGACTCCCTCTAAAGACAAACTTTGCAAGTAAGAATAACCTTGAAAAAGCCCCTTCAGACGCAGATCAATCGTCAGGAACGTTGCCAACCACTTAACAACTCCCCTTTGCCATTTCACAGATGTGTTATTTACTCGGGACAAGAGGCCTCCTCCTATCCCCAGCCCAAATCCCTGCTCCATGCCTCAGGGAGGGGTAGGATGGGGCGGGGCGGGTTTGTCGGATGAGCCACTGGGGAAATAAGTGCCTATTCTCCTCTCCTTGGTCAACTCGGGTCACCTTGGCAGAGGACTTCGCTACACCACTGGGGACACTTCCGTGGTACCTGTGACCTGAGCCTCTCCGGGGAATTCTCTTATCAGTCCAGGTGGTCTCCTGGGGGTGCCGGTTTCCCAGCCCCTTGGATCTTCCTAAAAGCAGAACCATCCAGAGGTACCCCCACCCCGCTTCCCCTGCCCCCCACCCCACAAGCTCTGGGAAGGCTGCGGGGCTGCGCTAGTCATTAATGGCCATCATCCATTTTTAATAAGAAAGATAACAGAAAGGATGGGTAAGCGAATCCCAGTAGCAAGTCAATTTAAATAACATTCCTGGGGAAATCCAATCACTTAAAACTGAGACACCTACGCGAGTGAAAGCCCCCCGCCCATCTGGAAAGGAAGAGCGCAGAGCACGACGGCTGAATTAATCAAGATCTGGGTGCTCCGGGGCTGAGTAAGGAACGTTAACCGTTCCAGGCCCGGAGAGTGACAAGGGAGGCTTGGAAGAACGCAGCCGGCCCGGGCCACGATGCCCACAGCAGCCCCGCGCGGGCTGCCCCTGCCATCTTGGGTGGCTCGGGACGGCCCGCGCCTGGCCCGGGAGGCCGGGCGCGCGGGGTTAAGGTCAGAAGCTCAGGAAGCTGCTCCGGCTGCAAGGAGCTGCCGCCTCCCGCAGCCTCAGCGCGCCTCCGGCTCCTCCTTCCGCCCCAGCGTGGCCAAGTGAGGACAGCTCCCGCCGCAGGTAGCGGAGGCGCGGGAGGCGGCGCGCGGGACGCGAGGAGAGCGCCCAGGGAGGGGCCGACGGATACGGGGACAGACGGATCCTCCAATCTCCCGCCCCGGACACTAGCGACCATTTGTGCCGGCCATGTGGGGAACTGGGGTCACGGCCGAGGGCCTGTCGGTGGCGCCGGCCCCGCCACCACTGCTGCCGCTGTTGCTGCTGCTGGCGCTGGCGCTGGTGGCGCCCTCACGGGGCGGCGGGGGCTGCGCGGAGCTGGCGTGCGGAGAGAGGGAGCGCTGCTGCGACGCGGCCAACGCCACGGCGGTGCGCTGCTGCAAGCTGCCGCTCCATGCCTTCCTCGACAACGTGGGCTGGTTCGTGCGCAAGCTCTCCGGGCTGCTCATCCTGCTCGTACTCTTCGCCATCGGCTACTTCCTGCAGCGCATCATCTGCCCCAGCCCCCGCAGGTACCCGCGCGGGCCAGCGCGACCCGGGCCGCCTGGGGACGCCGGGACGCCGGGAGCCGCGGGGCCGCCCGACGACGACGATGACTCGCCCGCGCTACTGCGGGACGAGGCGGCCGCTGGCTCTCAGGACTCACTGCTGGACAGTGGCAGTGGTGGTCGGGGCCGGGGAGGTGGCGGGTTCTCGGTCCCCTCCTGCGCCTCGGAGCACGAGCTGGGGTTAGTCTCGCCGGCCTTCCTGCAACTACCCAGCTACGAGGAGGTCAAGTACCTGCCAACCTACGAGGAGTCCATGCGGCTGCAGCAGCTCAGCCCCGGGGAAGTCGTGCTGCCCGTGTCGGTGCTGGGCCGCCCTCGAGGGGGCAGCTCCGGGGAGCCCGACGGCGGCGAGGGCCGCTTCCCGCTCATCTGAGCGCCTGGAACTGCTCCAGGACCACGCGGACAGAACTGGGTCGGGGGCTCGGGTGGGACGCAACGGCTGGGATGCCTGTGGCCGCCGACAGCTGCCTCAAACCTTGCCTACCACCTCAGCCTAATCGCCCAATCGTCCTGCGACTGGGTTGGGGTCATGCTCCCCGCAACCCCCTGCGACCTTAAGTTTCCCTACGTTTCCCTCGGCTCAAGGAAACGTTAGGCACGCGCGGCGGGGCGTTGGGGCGACGGCAGCGGACGAGCCCAGAGCGCAACTTCGAGGGACGGTCCCGCCCTCAAATTGTGTTCACTGGTTAAGTGCCTGCTTCCCGAATCAAAGAGAACACGTGAGCCCTGTAGTGCATCGGGAGAAGGACAGTATCCATGAGGGAGGAGGGGGAAGGGACGCAGTTCCACCCTCTCCCCCTCTGCAGGACCGGTGGGGCCCCCCAGGATGGGTGGGGCCGGGAGCGGGAGGGGGTGAGCCGCGCCGGGGAGACGGCTGGGGCTGGGAAAGCGGCTCGTAGGTTTGACCAAATGCCTCCCTGGAGAAAAACTCCCAAAAGCCGTCCATGTCTTCCTGGCCAAGCGTATTTACAGCTGATGGCTCCTGATTTGGTGGGGGATGCTCGGCATAGCCTGTTAGTTGCTGTACCTATTCAAGATACAGGAATTACGTTTATCCAAGGCCATATTCGTAATAAGGTACAGTTGGACTTTTGATTTTTCAATAACCAAGGAGATATTTATATTTGTCTTTTATTTTTATATTTTTACCACATAGTGAACGTATCAGGAGGGTATCTCTGCAATTAATGACAAGATTGTCGTCTTATCACCCTTTGTATGCCTTAACGGCCTGGAAATTGCCCACACTGTCATTATTGTTTAATAAAATGTTGGACGTTATTTCATGTACAATGGGGGGAAAAAGAGGCGTGATGGAACGAGAAAACGTGACAAAAACATGAAGGATATCTTATTTTCACTATTTGAGAAGAATAAATTTTATTTTTAGTACTGTGACATAATATATAACTTTTTATAATAATTATACATTATGTAGTCTAAGTCTTAATTGTATCATTTACCACATAAGTTATATGTAAAAATGATCAATGCATATATGCCATAACATGAAGCATGATTCCATGCATTTTGCCTTCATTTTTCATTTGGAATACACTCCACATGGTACAAAACATAAGAACTTGTGACTTGTAGCTTTTGTTTAAAGCCCTAGTTGTGCAGTAACTTACTACAGAAGGAGTCAACCTGTCCTAAGAAATGAGTCATTGTATCAGTTCTGTCATTCTATGAAATGTCCTTTAAGTAAATGGTAATATATTAAAATGCATTATGTTAATGTACATATGCATATTGTCTATATACAGTATACTGTTGGTATACTATATAATTATTACTGTTTATGATTATCATGAAAGGAAAAGAAGGAAAACAAAAGAGGAAGGATGAGTATCAACAGTAAGAAAGATTACATATTGTACATGGACCTCACATGTGTATCCAAAAATGTTCTTAAGATTGAAAAATTCTGACAATCCTGAGAAGTCTTAAAATATCTGACTTGTTTTAGAAGAATATGATTTGATTGCTTTAAACTTTTAAAAGCTGGTTGAAAAAGTCTGATAGTTCTAACATACCTTAAAATGCTTCAATTGTAATAGAAGAGGATGTTTACTCTAAACTTCTAAAAGCTAATGACCCTGTCCTTAATATCATTTGAAGTGTATTAAAACAGAAAAACATTAAAATCTTTCTCTGTGCAAATTGTATCAGATGTGACTATATGGTAGTGTATTAAAGTGTGAACTGTATCTTTGTCATTTAAAAGCAATTTTAAGCTGTGAATTGGCAAAAGAATCAGGAGTTGAGACTATCAATTGAGAATGATACATGATTTAAAAAATATATTCAAATAATCGCATATATTTATGTTTCTCAAGGTAAATTTTAGTTACATGTGACTCAATACTACCCACCATTCAAACTGGAAAGTTGTCATATTCTTCTAAGTGATTTATCCTTTGAGAGTACACTATTTTAGACGCTTTGAAATTCACCCATATCTGAAACATCTACATAAATATTCAAGTACCAGTACATAAAGTATATCCTACATGTTGTTGCTACTAAAATCTTGAACTTTACAACAAAATCTTGTAAAAGTTCACCTATAACATGGACCAAGTGTGTTTCCCCATATTACAAGTTTTACATTCCCCACTACCACCATACACCAGGCAAGCTTTTATTCACATCTCCCAGTTGAATAAAAATGAGTATGGCTCTACTTTGTTTTTTCTCGTGCAGTTCATTGATTTACCAGACACAATTATTCAGGCATAGTTTTGTAGGAAGAAAATTTCAAGAACTTTTTATTAGTATATTGCCAACATATGTCAGGTAATACACACACATACAACATGATGTTAATACACACAGAATGTATGTGTTCACAGTGCCCAAATACCTGGATAGAAACATTTTTAAAGCCCTAAGACCGGTATCTTGTTGTTCAGATTTCACCTGGAAGTTATTTATTACATTGAACTAGTAGAAAATAGAAATGCAGAACAGTTATTAATGTAGAAAACAGTTATTCTCATAGCTATACACACATTTTATACTATGGAGGAGAGATAGATAAATAGGTAGATAGTCTATGGTGGATCAGTTTTGCAAGGCTACTTACTACATGTGTACACATCTTAACCAAATCCACCTAAGAATGCCAGTTTGTCAGTACTAATGAAGGATTGGCTTCTGGTTTTCAACTATCAAAGTAATTCATAGACTAAAACACTTCAACTGATTATATATATATATGTATATATATATATATATATATCAGTTGTATTTATATATATAAACATATATATATATATCTGTTGCTTAAAAACAATTTTTTATTGGCATTCAATATCATAACCAAGGGGAAAATTTCTTGATATTGAATGATATTTTGAAGAAGCTGTTAATTGCTGCTGCTTCAACTCTGGAAAATGGCATTCACTGGCAATTATGCCAAAGGGTAAAAGGCATACTATACTATGTAAGGAAAACAAGATTCAATTGTAAAGGCCAAAGGGAATATTAAGGAAATGGCCTCAACAGTTTAAAAGGCAATATGCTAAGTACCTTAATGTTATCCTAAATGTATACAGTTTCTCGCAAGTGGAATTAATAAAGGAAACAATTCAGAGCTGAAACTGATATAAACGTGAGCATTATGTTCAGACTTACACAATATTCTTCACTGAATTCTGTAAAACTACCATGAATCATAATTAATTTGGTTGAGAGAAATAGCGATTAGTTTTATCTTGAGCAACCCAGCACTAACAATTTCTCCAAAAGTGTGTAAGTTGCAAACAACCAATCAGTAATATAGAATTTGGCAAGTTTATGTCTGACCTCACTGGTTTACAATTTACTTTTTCATTCTCCTTTCATCCATCTGCAAAAGACTAAAAACTGGTAGGCTACAAGAAGGTATTTTGTCAACCAGAGAATGAATTGGCAATCAGCTGATTCCAAAAAAAATTAAGATGTGCTTCTTCCATAGGGCTGGAAAGGATGTCTTATTTTTATTTTTTACTTTGCCCATAAAATAATCAAGTGTCAAATAAAACCAATACTTTGAGTATACTTTAGCTATAGAACGAAATTTTTTGTTTATTTTACTTACAGAATTCACTTTTAACTTTATGGCAAAAAGCAGGGGTGTCCAGTCCGTGGCCTGCAGGCCGCATGCAGCCCAGGATGGCTGTGAATGCGGCCCAACACAAAATGGTGAATTTACTTAAAACCTTTTTTTTTGCTCATCAGTTTTCGTTAGTGTTTGTGTGTTTAATGTGTGGCTCAAGACAACTCTTCTTCTTCCAGTGTGGCCCAGAGACGCAGAATGGTTGAACACCCTTGCAAGGATATTTATACTTGCCAACAAACTAAATATTATCACTTTTTTCCTCTTCAGCTCCTCTCAAACACATCTCTTAGAACTCGAAGTTACTCTTTGCTATGGTTCAATATCACTGTGGTTTTGGCTTGGCCTTTTACATAAAGTTTCTTCTTTCAGTAAAACATCATTCCAAGGTGTTTCCTTTGTTTTCTATTTGCATCTGACTTCTGTAGGTTTCCAGTTTTACATTCTTATGGATTTTCTGCATGGGTTCCTCTTCAGCTTCCTCTGCATGTGGTATCTCTGTTTACTGGGTAGGCTAGAAGATACCTCTACCTTTACACTTCTTTTATTCCTGCTTCTAGATGATCTTGAAGAATCCCCACTGTTGTTGAAGATTTTATCTGAGGAACTGAAAGCAGTTTTATCTTCTGCTTCTTTGTTGGTTATATTTGTCCTATCAGATAAAGAATTAGAAACTTCTTGGTTTACTACTATCTTCTATTGGTTTATGTGAATTTCCTCTTCTGTATTGACCAAACAAAGATGTTATCAGATCACAATTAATTTTGATTATTTTCCTGGGTCTTAAAAGTATCTTCTCTTCAACTGTAGATTTAACTTTTTTCTTGCAAACTCTTCATTAGTCTCTCACCTTTCTCCAAGTACAGGATGCCTGCAGAACCAGACAAGCTGTAAGATTCCTGTAGATTTATACCAGTTTTACTTCTTCCCCTAATGTAACAGTTTTTGTCTTTTGTTTCACAGGTCTGTTCTGTGTTTGGTTTTTTGTTTGGTTTTTTTTTTTTTTTTTTTTTTGGAAGCTCTTCAGTGCATTCTTTTCATCTTTCTTTATATGAAACTTTTCTGTTGATGTAAGCAACTGTGACTCTAGATTTTATCAGTTCCGTATCTGTGTCTGGGATGTAGGGACATTCCCTGAGTCAGCTTCTCTTGAAAATTAAGCTCATATTTCTTTATCTTCATTTCTGTTTGCACATTATCTCTTTGACGAGGCAAATGTTTAGATTCCTACATGTTCTTTGGCCACACATCTTCAGTTTCAGAGGAATTTG